AGTCTTGCTGTATGTCTCTGACCTTATGCAGCAATGAACGAAAAGCCAGTAAGCATTATGTAATGTGAAATTTTTTTAGAGGAGGAAGAGGAAGAGATGGGGTAAAGAGGGGAAAGGAAAAGAGATGAGGAAACAGAGTAAAGGCACTTAACGATCTGCCTCTCAAACATGTCACGAGTGAAGTGAAGGGCAGTGGAAGAGAATCAGAGGTGAAGCTATGATACGGATTGGTGCACTGTTACATAAAACCAAGGATGCGGTGAAGAGGCAGGATATGGAAAAGAGTCTGAAAAAGAGAAACTGCACAGAAGCGTGGAATTGAGATGGCTGAGAAATACACAGAAAACGTGCCTTGGCTTCTCCGTGACCACTCGTTCCACCACCACAACCTCTGTTTTTGGCAGCATAAACAGGGAAAAGCAGGAGAGCAGGAGAGGAGTTCGTGTTGGGACGATTCCACCTGTGGCCTCTTTTTATCCAGTCACCTAGCAACCACTCATCCCTCGATCCTAAATCCGCTTCCACAAACCTACAGAATGTATCCAGCAGAGCACTGTAACTATAACACTACGAGACAGCTGTAGAGGTCCCCTGGAGGATTTAGGAACCAATATTTCTGCTGCATTTATTTAAAATAATTCAGAACTGGCTATGTAGTCAAATATATTATTGATACAAGATGTTGCTGAACCTGCTCATTTATTTAATGATTAGGGGTTGCACTTAAGTTAAGCCATGCATGCATTAGCAAGGAAAGCTAAGGTAGGCCGTCACTGTTTGCTTCACTGTGTCTTGGTGTTGTATGTGACAATGGAATGCTATTCAGAGGCGTTACAATGACACGCGTATAGTGTATAGTGTGCACAGTAACAGCCTCACTGGTATCATAATCAGCTTTTTGTGGCGTATAGGCACATTAGACAATATGTCTTCATTCAGGGGTTGTATGTCAATATAAAACAGTTTGTTTAAATTATAGATCAACCAGTAATTGTGTGGTGATCCTTCACATGCACAACAGTATCTTTGTTCCATACGCAGTGGATGACCTGATTTCTACATATAGATCACACACATTTTTTGGCCTAATTCTTCTCTTCCTCCTCCTATTTCTCTTCTCTTTGGATTAGCAGTGACTAAGTATCTCTTGTATTCATCTATTCCACCAATCCCTTGCTTCAGCTGTATGCGTAGAAAGCATAGCCAACACACCAGGGATATCTATTTTTGGCTTTCAAAGGTTATGGCAGAGAGGCAGGCATTCAATCACAGCACAGAATTTGTTGTAAAAAGCACGTAGAGCGATGTGAGCACATGCTAGTATCCATCTATGTGTGCTAATTTTTAAAAGAATGGGAAGGGATGTCTGCAAGGGCAGAATCTCTGATAGTGCTTTGTTTGCTCCCAGATTATAAATTACCTCAGCAAGAACAAAGCACGGCTGTTTCCAAGAGAGGCACATGGGTTGACTGTATAATTGCTTAAGTCATCATGTGCAGTTAGATATTCCAGTTTTAATTGCTCCCTAGTTGCAAAGATATGCACGATTGGCACATGTTCTTGCATCATTTAAAATGCATTAGCAATGTCTCTGGGTCTCTGTCAAGTCAAAGGTGGCAGCAAAAGGCACTGATGCATTGCTCTGAGACAAAGGGGTCTATATCAGGAACTCTGCAGGCAAAGTGAGAAGGAAAAAACGTGATGCATGTAAAATCAGATGTGATAATTAAAATGCACAAGTTTAATAATGTAGGCTGATGCAAATCAAATAGAATGAATACAATGGTTAGCTTTGGTTATTTTCTAATTTTTACTATAAGGGCTTAAATGATCTGTTTGTCTAAGTTGATTAGGAGCACAGTTAAAGGGGCACTTCACTGATTTTACACATGATGGTCAGTTTAGTCATTGTGGAAAGGACCACATACCACCTTTGAAAACAGTTGCGGATCCAGGATCCAGGATCCAGCATTTCTAGAGCTTCACTCTAAAAAACTGGGATATCTGCTGCTTTGATTTTGACCGTCATTTTTTAAAAGCTGTTCCTTATGCGTCCTCCAACTTCAGGGAAGTACAGTACTAAATAGCTGCTGTACCCTTTTAAGCAAATACAATGTTACAGATTTAATGTTCCTGTTGACATACTCAGCTTTCAGATTTCTGACAGCCATGATGACTTTATCATTGAATGCTGATTGATTATATATAAGCATTCCACATGGCCATTCCATGGCTGCTTGCCGTCTTTGTGCACATCTAAACCAAACAATATTTAGCTAAGCCAGTTGCTAGCAGAATGCTTGTGTAAAAAAAAGAAAAAGAGTCTACTAGGCCTTAAACTGTATTCATGGCCCTATGTATATAGCTAGAGTTATAACTGAATATACAGCTGGTCTATATATTGCTTTTCATATGCCTTATGCAGCGTTTGTGCATTGGCAGTGATGATAACGATGGTGATAGTACTGATGATGAAGGTGATGGTAAACAGGTGAACTCATAACCATCATAGACCTCATCCAGAAACATCATTATCTGGGCAGAAAAAAAAAACAACAACTCACGCATTGTTGTGAGACTGCACCTTTGTGTTTTTCTATGAATGAAAAAGATTTCCCAAAGATCTCTTGGCCCACTTGCAGAATGAATGTAATGTTAATTGTTACTCTTTGTGTTTACAGTATAATCACATATATCTTGTTTGAACCTGTGGTTGCCACTAAATCCTCTTGTACTCATTTTCAGGTCTTTGAAATTACAGTTAAGGTCACATGACTTTTGATACAAGAGATTTCAACCCAAACTAATTAGTGTTTGGAAAACTGGAACTGGACTAACTACAATTACAGCTCTCACAGCCCTTTACTGACAAGCACAAGTTCAAAAACACTTTTCTGATGTTTATTTATCCTCTGAATGTTTTAATATTTTGTTTTAGTTTAAGTGATGTGTGGTCTAGTATGTATTTATGTTCTGAACAAGCACAGAACTTTATATTTTCCTTTAAATCCGGTGTTTATGACATTTTATTCACAGTATGATGATATTTTTGATTGAGAGCTGTATATTCTACTACTTGTTTGAATGTTCAAGTTGAATTTTATTCGGAAAATGTTGTATGCTTAATAGTAATTGCAGGTTTGGAGTCAGTTTGCTTTCAGTTTTAAATGTTAAATGAATCAGCTATTTGCATAATTACAGAGCCTTAATTCCAATAATTCCTGACACGTTTGTGATTATGGGACCCTGTCCACAGGAAAGAAAATCCACTTTCAAAATGTAATTGAAAACCAGCTGGATTGGAAGTTAATTGTCCCCAAACCTTTCTGTTATACTAGAACTGCTTCTGAAAAGGCTTTTGCTTTCTGCTGCACAGTGAAAGAATGAATGTTCTGCTATGTTTAACGCTTAAATTTGCTACCACTTAATTTCCTTGACACTATCATTTACTTGAGCACAGAGCTACAATGTACAAGACTAGTAAATGTTAAAAGATAGATTTCATTTTAAGCATTATCAGGTTTTGTAAGATAGACTGAATTATTAGAATAAAAAGAACTAAATGACTAAAATGTAGAGATTTCATTTAGCTTTTTTCATATCTCATACTACTAATACTCTCTTTGGGATTTTGCTTGAAACTGTTAACATAACATATAAGTGTTTCAGGTGGGAGATATTACATCCTTTGCAGTTGCATGGGAGGTCTGGGAAGTAAACGCGGTCACCTTGCAGCAGTCCACAGCAGTGTAGCGCCGGATCAGCAGAAAATTGCTCTTTGACGTAACACGATGCTGCAGATGGGAAAGAAACAAAAGCTACATATATATAAAATGAGTCAGTCAGTTACTTGCTTGTCCATCAGAGCTTCTTCTCAGCTGATTATTTGGTTAAGTGGAGGTTAGATAACCCTGTGTTCAGATGAAAAAAGCAGAATTACTGGAAAAATATCTCTCTTCCAAGTGCTCATTATTCCAAGCCAAGATTTGTGAAGTTACATTAAGCTGATGTTTCTGCTGCTCACTTAATGAAAGGCATTAACCATGCAGATGGCTTTTAGACAGGCGGATTCGAATATCTAAGGTATTAGAAAGTCAGAACATCCTCTATCATATTCTATTTTCAGAGATTAGAGCCTCTTGACTTGACACTTGACACCAAAAATGCTAATAATGGACTCAGGCCACACTTGTATCCCATATAAACCCAGAGATTAGTGCAGGCTTTACCCTGCATTTAATGGACTACTATTATATTCCACAGCATGTACATTACATTAATTGATATGTGTGTGCGTAATGTCTGTTTGTGTATGAACAAATACACAACAATAAATAGATGAGAACATCGTAGAATGAATACATTTACTGCATTAGACCTAACAATTTACAGTAGTGCTTGTTGTGCATGTTGTATGCATTAGTATACACAGGCCAGCCTAATGGTGGGAAAGGGGTGTGTATGGGCTACTCAGTTGGCAGAGCAGAATAGGCTGTGACATTATCATCCTGGCTGTTAGCAAGGTGGCCGGTTATGTAAGTGACAGGTTGGAATTTCATCATCCTGGATCAGGGCTAAGTAACGTCCGGATGGAGACAAAATGAGGCTGAAAGGATAGAGAGCTGCAGGGAGAGTTGCCAGGAAAGATGGATGGAGAGATTTAGCTTTAGGGAGGCATAAAGGGGGAAGAAGGAGGGGGAAAAAAAGCTGAGGATTCCAAAAATGGCTAACAGTCAAAATGTGTGTACATAGGTTCCATTCCTTCAATTTTATTCAATTTAAATTGCAGAATTTTTTAATCCTGTATTTATCCAGTCTTGTTTCAATACTTTTTTTAATGCCTCGATCACACTCAAATAAAAATGATCTATTGGCAGAAATGGAATATAATATTAATATGTATGTGTTCATTAGTGAATAATCATCTGAATATAAGAAATATTCTTTCGTTACCTTAGAATGAGACATTTTAAAGCCGCGTGTGACCCCCTGTGGAGTCCGTCATGTTTCCACAGTAGCCCAGAATGGACAAACCAAATAATGGCTGTAGAAAGGGTCTTTCGCAGTCGACGTAGCTTCTTTCTTCACACTTCACAGCCTGTTCTCATTCCCAGGTTGTCAAGAACAGATGCATGCGGTGTTCAGTTAGTTGCAATCTGCAGCTTCACCACTAGATGTCACTAAAGCCCACACACTGGTCCTTTAAAGCTCATAAATGAGCCATGTCCATGGATTTTGAATTATTGGACTTACTGGTATTAAAAACACCTATTTGATGGTCAGCCAGAAGTGACAACATCCACTCATTTGAATTTGTATACATAGTGTGCAGTATAGGTGTGCAGAATGTAATCATGGCCACAAAACCCCTGTCACAGTCAGTTTATATAATACACATTACTAGGAAGTAGGTTTTATACTACATTAGTCTAGTACAGTCACACCAGATACAGAAACATACCACATAATTTACACTATTACATTTTTTTTACTTTATTAAACATGTTTTATGTGCATGATACAAATATACTGGCTAAAATTAGTTAATTTACTATTGCTCACATTTGACAGTTACTTACAGTCATCCACTGCTCCACAATTATCCGAGAACCTGCCTGTCTTGTGATTTGTTTGCTTACACACTGTAACAAGACAACGTCAGCGGAAACAGCGACAAGCAAACAGACGCCTGGCCAGTTCGTTTAAACTCAGGAATGATTAAAAGGAAGTGAACACCTGCTCCTGCTCACCGTTACTTATCAAAGGCAGTGTTTGTTTTCAGTTTGGGGAGACGGGATCCTTCCTGAACACTGATTATGCAACTGTGTCAATTCCCTTCTTTTTTCTCTCCTTCTGAAAGCCATTTAGACAACCAGTGAAACAGAAGGGGGACAGAAGAGGACATCATTTACCAACATGAAATAACACTATCTGTGATACTACAACGCTTTATAATGCACAACAGATGAGAAAACAGGTGATATATATTGTACATAGGACATTTTTAGACAAGTATGTCTAACAAAGTGTGTGTATTAGCTGTGGAATGTGACATTTGGGTGTTTGTTACAAGTATAAAAAGTGGAGCAGTTACACCTCTCCCACTCCCATCTCTCCTTTCTTCCCTAAAGGATCCTAAATCCTAAAAGCTACTCTGTGTGTAAAAGTACACAGAGTAGCTTGTGTATATCTGGTGGGATACACACATGCCCACTCTGAGTGTGTTCACTGAACAAATTACTGCAGTGGGGTGCTGTTACTAACAAGCTCTCTTTAAGTGCCATTTCCTGGTAAAACAGAGAGAGTCTTTATTTTTTTTGTTTTTTTAACACACTGTCATTATTCCAGGTTCTCCAGAGACAGATGCCTAGAGCCAGAAGAAACTGGATCCTCCACTCCCCTTGCAGCCAGTGAGCTGTGCCCAGAGCCAAGATGGCTGAGCTAAAGTTTCAGATCTCTCCTTGGGCTACCCAGACGCCTGCCGCTTTGTTGGAGACAGACTGGCAGGCACAAAGCCACTTTTAGAGTCCCAGGGCAGGCTGCAACAGACACTGGGCAGGTTTGAACCTCAAAATGTCTCAGTATACTGTGATTTAAAAGACTAGACGGTTTCTGTTCGGAACAGAAGCAGCTACATCCCTATACAGCAGCTGGCTAGGTACAAATTTGCAGCTCTGCCAACTCTTCAGAAGATTTCTTCTCAGTGAGTTTAAAGTGCCTTAAGGGGTTTTGCCCTGCAGGTAAGTTTTGCCTCATAGTCATTATTGGTTAAATGTTAATGTTAAATGGACATAAAAGCAGTTTCTACCCCAACCACAAATGCATTCGTACCTATTATTAGTGGTTCATGGTTTAAACAACTGGAGAAACATGATGCAGTTAGAAAACACAAGGATAGAGCAACAGGGAAGAAAATATAGTCCTTGTAATAAGAGGCTTTATGGGGCTGTGAAAGCCTTCAGTTCCAATGTTAGTTACCAGGAAATGTTAAAGGGTATAAATCCATAAAATAGTGCCATTTATATCCTCAGGTATCCTTTGGCTACATCCTTATGTGGAAATATTTGACACTTTAGTTTGAGTTGGATCCAGGAGAACAACACTGTCCTCTCCTGTAGATAAAATCCACTGTGTGGTGACGACAAGATTCTATGAAGCATCCCAAGCTGGTTCAGTTCCTCTACTATGTACATACAGTACTTTCACATTTCCATGTTCCTTCAGTCTGTGAGTTTGTGTACATAGTTGACAGGAAAGGTCCCATTCCTGCACGGGTCCCCCTCTATGTGACCAACCTGTTAGGATAAAGAATGATGTAATGTTTATGATGTGAACACATACAAAAAGTCCAAGTTATATATTTTACTTACTACTGTGTTAAATCCTTCACAGTGCTACCCATAAAAGGGAATGGTAACTGTAATGAAAAAGTAAAAAAGTTGTAGTTGCACTTACCCACCAGTGGGGGTCATTAGCGGCCGTGACCACAATGATCTCATCTTTGAAAAAGGCGAGCTGCTCAGAACTCACTGCTCTGCAGTCCACTAAAGCCTTGACACGCTTCTGATGTGGCCTGCTGCCAGAAACCTGGAGGAGACATGTGATATATTTTTCAGTGTGCCACCAGCAAATTTATATTATCTGTGAAATCTCACAGGCCTTTTTTCATTCTCCACAGAATTGAACTGAAGCTTGTGATATCTGACTTAAACTACAGGCTGAAAATAGTAGAAAGACGTTTCTATGTGAACCTACCATAGCGTTCCTTCGGGGTCGTGGGGCACAGGTCACGGTAGGTGAGGATGACGGTGCTGGAGCTGGAGCTGGGGTGAGGCCCGGACTATTCCCCACTAAGCTGCAATACAGCTCCTCCTGGCTGCCTACACAGCTTGGAGACAGCACACCACACTTCCCCTGGCTGCCTCCTCCACTGCTGGTCCGACGATACGATGTGGTCTTCTCTGAACTGGAGGGTGGGCAAGACACATGAAATAAAACTGATCAAAATAGGACCTCTGTCACATAGAGTTGTTTGTGAACACATCAAAACTGGACAGCTTTTCATCTCTGTAGCATTAATGATGGCCTCCGTAGTCTCAGGCAACAGCAACATTTACATTTCTGTGTCTAGACTTGGCATCAACTTGAATTGCACTCTTTCAGTGGCCTTCTTTACACCTGACACTATTGTGTTTATTGTGATGACAGAAATGTGACACCTTGTAGCAGTGCTGTCTCACCTCACAGGCCCTATGTGGTTCTGAGAGGATGTTGATGCGATACTGCTTTGAGACCCAGAACTAGCACCAGGTTGGCCCTCCCAGGTCTGTTTCTGTCCCCTGAGCAGACCTCCCTGTCCGTGGGGAGACCTAGGTGGTCTCCCCGCTTGACCTTGGTTTTCTATGTTGGGTGACGGAGAGTTATGCCTGGCCTGTGTCTGGGGACTAGAGGAATGGGAGGCCGGGTTAGAGCACCGTCGTGGAAGGGGGTTGCCTTCCTGCGTCGTGACCGAAATCTGGGGATCTGAGCGACCTGTGGAGGGGAAGAAAAAGAAGAAGGCTGTAATTTAATTAAGCTACTCATTAATTCAAAACCCAGTGTGGGATAAATGTCTTGCCAAGACCTAAAATTAAACTTTAAACATGTTATTAGAACTTGCACTGTGCTAGGGCTGCACAATTAACTGAAATATTAAAATCACAGTATGGCCAAGTGAAATTTCCAAATCGCAGAACCTGCAATTTTTGGATTAGAAAGAAATACGAAAAACGTGTGACAAACACCATTATAATGAAGTAGCATAGTTCTGGCCTACAAATTTTTTTCTCCAGATGTAAGAAAAACCTGTTTGTTTGATACAGATCCAAAATAAATCTTACATCATCAAGATTCAATCAATCATATCACAATCGCAATATCTGTAATATAATTGCAATATGATTTTTTATTTCTACCTCTACACCACACATGGGCTCAAGAGAAACAAGTTCTTACACATAAGCAGGACAATTATGGGACATTTCACTTAATGCAACACCCCATTATAGTTTTGGCAGCAGTGGTATAGCTGTTGCATGCCAAATCTAACTAAATGTAACCTTATTAATCACTTCAATAAAACTTAATAAAATCAATCTGCTAAATTACATTACTGCTAAGTTACATTTGTTTTTTACTTTTATTGTAAATGTATCAGAATCATTGTTGTAAGTTATCGTCATAGATATATATATCTATGAGTTATCGTAACCTACAACACAGTAAACCGCACATAACAGCTGTTGGAAAATATGACTTCATCTGGCTTTCGATATGTTACATATTACTTGGTGTCAGTGCTCCACTGTGATTAGCACAGCTGTTTAAAATGTAAGCTGAATTGTGGGCTGATTAGAAGCACAATTCAGTGTATTCCAACTCTTTGGCACGAAGCATGATGTTGTTATTAATTTTTATAAATAAATATGAACTTTTCAAAGATGACAGAGGAGTTTTTTTTATATAATGCAGCACACTGCACTAGCTCACCTCTCTGGATGCATTTAGCTGGCAGTGGTGGTGGTGCTGACGCTCCAGAGGGGGCGCTGTTGGCTGGAGGATTTCTGTATAGGAAGTCTAGATTCTCATACGTTTGACAAGGCCTGCTTCCAACACCACCACTGGCACCATTAGCCACACTCCAGCGGCCAAAAGAAGTCCCACCACTTCCATTTGAGGACAGAGGAGAGCGGTTTTTGGGTAATGGGCTTACCTGGAGGAAAGTGGAACATACATAAAGGTTAATTTCTAGTTAATCTTCAACTCTGTTTGCAGCTTTTTGTAGAGTAAAAATTGCAGTGGAAAACCCCCTATAATGTCCTTTGCAAAAGCTTTTTTGGCAGAGAGTCAGTAATGAGATTGGCTCCTTACCCTCTCATCCAGGTCATCCTCACTGTCATAAAACTCCTGAGACTGTGTCTCCCACATGAATTCCACGTGGATCTGTGAGTTAAACTTCCCACTCTGGGCCAGCTCCAACTAAAACACACACACAGAAGCACAAACACTCAGGAAACTCTCATCTCCACATTACACATAACAAGTTTGCACACAAAAGTAGTAGTAGTATTAGGAATCGGCTATGCTGCTGTAACTGTGTACTTGGCTTTGCCGGAGTAGTTCGGCTTCTTGGCTGTTCCTGGGTTGTAGGTAAAGATAAGTACAAATATTTCAATGTTTGTGTATTAGCTGTTTGATATTTTGTAAGAGTGTGGGTTAAATGAAATAACTGAAAGAAAACTCCAGAGTCAGCCCTCATCTCATTGCTGCTTCCAGATTTTAGAAAAACGAGATCACCTCAATGCAAACGGAAGGCCAATTGGGAAATATGGTTTATTTTAAAGCTGCTCACTTGTGTAACCTTTTTCAGTCTCCATACAAAATCTCTAAAACAAGGATGTGCACAGTCAAACAGGATATTACACAAGGCAGGTCTGATTCAGCAGGGCAGATGGCCGGTAAGAAAATAAAACCAGTTTCTAAATGATACACACTGGGGCCTGATGAGGATAAAATTCCTTGTCCTGGGAGTGAGTCCTTAGCCGAGCTTTGCTGCACGGGGAGTTATTTCAAGGTAGTATTTCCAGCTGTAAAAGTTGTCCTGTTTTGTTTCTGGAGTAGGCTTTCTGGTAGGCATTTTAATGTTGCAACTCGATTCCTCAGTTGAACTTACCTCCTGACTGTGTGTGTTCTCTGAATAAATGAATTAAAACTTAAAGATGAATTAAATTAGAGAAAGTGGGGTCTTACCAGCTCGACACATTGCGTGTGCTGCAGTCTCCGTGCAACATCAAGGGCTGTCTCTCCTGCAGAGTTTACTATAGGAGATGTAAAAGAACAAATGGTTCAAGTCATTACTAATTGCACTTGGTTAAATAGAAATAAAGTAAATTAGTAGTTAAAGCTACCTGTGTGTAGGGCTGCCTTTGCTTTGAGCAATAATTTGAGAGACTCTGGCTTGTGATGCAGAACGCTGTAGTGGAGAGCTGTGTTTCCTTCTGCTGTTCTCTTCTCCAGACAATTGCTGTAGTCAACATACAGTATAGACAGGTGGTGTTAAATAATACCTAGAATACCAACTTCCTAAGCAAGTCGAACAATCCTCTGAATCATACTTGACTATTTGTCAGTGTCTGACCTGTTCTGGCAGAGGAAATCCACCAGCGCCAGAGAGCTTCTTTCCTCCAGACGCACAGCAAGATGAAGAGCGGTCTCTCTGACCCCCTTAAACAGGAAGAAAAGTAGAGTACAAATTAGGTCAAATTGTTGACCCTCAAAAGAGACAGTCCAGCTGTCACTCAGTGGGCTCAAGTGGCTGCATTTTGTATCTGACAATCAGGCCTAAAGACTACTCAAATACCAGTGAAGCTGTCAGGGGTTGATTGTGCAACAACTCATTTGTGTTTGTGTGTTGAAAAGTGAAAACATGGCTACAGCTTTAAGCATGATCTATTTATGTAAAGTGCAAAAGGAGGGGCAAAAGAAAGCCACAGAAGTGCCTGTGTAATTCAATGAGCTCGTCTCACTTGTTCTCAAGAGACATGAGCTCTGACCTAAAAGCTGAAATAATAAACCAACGCCAACCAACACAAACAAACACACATACACACATACACACACACAAACACACAGTGAAGTCAGTGGTGTTACACAGGCTGAGCAGGAAGTGTATGACGGGATGGTAGAACTTGATTAAAGACAAGAAGACGAGGCGTTGAGGAGAGACAGCAGAGGCGGGGAAAAAATTAAATGAGAGGATGAGTGGAGAAAAAGATTAGAGTAGAGGCTTGAAAAGATGGGAGGGCCTCTGACTACCCACCCACATAAACCATAAACACAAGAGGACAATTAACAAATACTTCACATACTGTAACCATTCCCACACCTCCTACATACTGTATGGCTTAACAATTTTTTTAACACTAAAAGGGTTTGGTTCTATTTTTAGCCATTTCAACCACAGTTCTAAAGTGACAGGAACAAGTCACTTTAGTTAGTAACTTTATGAAACATTGTGTAGCATTAAACAAGCCGGGTGGGCGGCCTTGTCAGGAAGTAGCTGTCATTCAAACAAGAAAAGGACATCTGTGTGGATGTTATGGTTTAGATTTGTCACAAGATGATGTGGGTTTATTACACACATTCCCACCCTCACAGGACACATTTCAGGAAGAAAAGCAGGTGTGGAAATCCACATGCAGCTCTAAATTATCTTCACCTGTCCATCAGACAGTGTGAGTGGTTTGGCCAGGTCCGCTCCCTCAGCGTAGAGCTGTAGAAGAGAAGTGAGGTCACGACTCCTCACGGCGTCATACAGCCGGCCAGGATCTGCTTCTTCTCTACGCACGACATACCGGCGCTCTGCGTACTTCGCTACAATGTACTCCTTTCTGGCATTCCTGGTTGTTAAGATTTAATGGAAAAATACAGTAAGTACAAATAACATAAATCACCAAACTGTAGTTTATTGATTTTGAACAGTCTGATTGTCTTGAAAAAAAAATCAGGGACTCACATGTCACTTTGTGGTAATGGTTTGACCGAGTCATTTGGAAGACCCGCCTCCATGATGTCATTGAATCTGGTGTTGCCAATACTGACAGCCAACTGAAGTGACACAAAATGCAGTAACAAAGATGTGATTATATAGTATTTCAATGAAAGACGGCAGAGGTTACATAATTTCTGTAATTCCATCGAGACAGTGTCTGTTTTTGTGTGTTTCCATGTGTGAATTTAGTACCAGAAGCTCAGAGGTGCTCAGTAGGTCCAGAGTGAGAGACTGGATCCTGGAGTAGTGGACACCCAGCTCTCTGTGGATGCCAGAGCACTCTATACAGGTCAGGATGCCCAAATTGGTCGACAGCCAAGTTGGATCTGAGATACACCAAGCACAAAAAGTCACCGGACTGTTTAAACACACCGCCTCTCTAAAAACACAGCTTAAATTGATGAATGCTATTTGTTATGAATAATGTCATGCTCATAAAATAAATGAAACTGGTTAAAAAACATCTAAACTCCTGATATACTTCCACATTTAATTATGCAGCGATCCTCAATAACAATGCCTATCTGACCTGGAGCTCCACAGTCAGCGCAGGCCTCGTTGCCAGGCATGTGTCGGAGCTCAGCGATGATGGCTCGGGAAAGTTCCTGGAGCCCGCTGTCCTGGAGGTGGAGCTGATCTCCTCCCAATGCTGTGTTCAGGGCCTCCTCCTTACTGTTCTGCAGCACTGACACCCAACTAGAGTACAGATAAACATACATACAGAAAACATTTTAATAAAAGAGCCACAAACTTATTTGTTTACAATTTCCACAATTTGTAACAGCTCACTTGGAGGGGAGGCATAGCGTTTGTGGCACCAAGAGAAACCAAAGGATTGATCATTTTAGTTGTTTTCCCAGAAGATCAAAAGTAGTCCACCATGTGTTTTGCATGTGTTTTTGCTCAGCTGTCTAATGATAAGTCATCATTACTCTCACTTTCCCAGTTCTCTGCCACCAGGACTCATACTGAACCTCACATCTTTCATTTCTGAAGCTTTCTGGTACTTTTCCCTCCAAACCATTTCCATCTCCCTCTGCCCCTAATCTCACACAGCATATCACATCAAAGAATCTGCCTGGAGGCCCACACACAAGGGAAGGGTAAGGACAGAAAAACCCACATCACATAACAAAGTTCCCTCGCTTGCTGTCTGTGGCTAGAAAGAGAAGTTCCACCCAACACCAGCTGGGCCAGGGGGCTCCTAGAGGACAGCGTTTTCTTTCTGCCTCCTTTAGTTTCTCTGCCTTTTTGCCCATTGTCAGCCTGTCTTCACTGCATACATCATTAGATTACACAATCTTTCTATTTTATCATCTTCAGGACACTTCTATTCCTTATGAAAGCAATCTTAGCTGTTTGCACAGATTCTTTCTCATACAGGCCTAAGCTCAAATCAAGGCACATGACATGTAACTACTTGCTTACACACTGAGAAAATACAGCAGATAAGAAAGTGAATAAAGCTAACACTGCCTACGGTAATTTCAACACTTACATCACGCATTCCTGCTCGTCTTCTGCCTGGAAATGGTATGTCCGATTATCTATAGAAAAGAACATATAGTGGTTATACACTGTAAGTGCATCTTGAGAAAAAATAAATTGTTCAATATAGGAGGGAGTGAAGAGGGTTTTAAAGTTGCACGAGTAAACATGGCGTAAAACTAGCACGACGCACACAAACACCCCTGTTTTACATCACAACAGTTTAGATTAATCATCTAAAATAAAATGTGTCTGATTCCAATTTCTATTAATGTGGGGACCAAATAGGCAGGCTTACACACAGCTGCACTGCAGATGACTCTTTAGAGTCTTTAATCACATGGAGGGTAAAGTGTCAAGGGTCAAAAGTTAGGAATGAACCTACGAGTGACCAGGTCAAAGGTCCTCCTATCCTCTGGGTTCGGTCGCACCTGACAGGTCAGTAGGTTCAACTTGGCTGGGGGTCGATTGATCTGAAGACAGACACACAAACTTATATCAGTATGCATTGGAGAATTTGAACAGATTTCAGTTGACAGCTGCACTTTCATCAGAATTCAAAAGCTTGGTGACAGTTTAGCCCACGTGTCCTCACCGTACTGTGGGAAATGGTCAGGCAGCCAAATTTCACTCCACACTTCCTCTTCTGCCACACCTTCCTTATCCTATGGGATAAAATGCAAACAGAAAAAAAAACTTCCATCTTGAGGAAAAAGATTTTAACACATACTGTTGACATACCAATATGATGATTTCTGTGCAGTGCTTTAAGTGATAACAGTGATAACAGTGTTAACACGTACCCTTGAATTGAGTAATGGTGATCTACACACTCTGCTGGCCCAGCTTACTGTGGTTGACAGTGCTTCACTCTTGTTGTCATTATCTTGACTGAATTGGGTAAAATGGCTGAGAACATGTTCTGTTTTATATCAGTGGCCTGAGGAAAGTTTGCTCCCCCCATCCCCCTCTCCCATTCATCCTACTGCACCACATCCCCTCTCCTTATCACACTGTAATCTAGCTCTGTGTATGTGTGTGTGTATATGACGCAAAAGTTGGATCTGCTCAGTTAGCCAGTCTGCCAGTAAGTTCCAAAGGAGGGGCCCCTGCTTGAATCTTCATCTCTCACAATAATGAAGACCAGGTGGGATAGACAAAAGTTCCCCTTTCTCTCTCTCTGTGCCTTACTTGCTTACTCTTCACCCAGCTCTGAACACTACTGCCCTCCACAGTGAGCAGTGTTTAAAACTTTGAAAACTTTATAATTCCTTAAAATATGTGTTACAATAACAAATGAACCATGTGTTAATGAGCCACGACCCATTAGATAATTATTGACAGTTTACAGCACATTGTGATGTTAGTATGCATGTTTTTTACATCTTGTGTTTTTGTGTTGTTTTACAGCTGCTTGTAACCTGATATTTGAAGACTGTAACTAATGCTTTTACACACCCATCACTCTTCTTGAGCAGGAAGCCAGATTTCTCTGTCCCATACTTCTTGTTGCCCTGTGGTTGGTGGATGCTATACCCGTTGCCAGAGTTCTTCCTGTTCAGATATTCCTGGGATAGAAACAGAGATTTAGGGCTTTACTTCAAAGGCTTCAAGCCAGCTCTGAAGATCTTGAAAATTTAAAACAATATAAAACAAATGCATCCAGACAAAGTCAGCTGACAGTAATAACTAGCAATTAAAGCTGTCTGCCGCTGGACGGTTTAGAGCCCACGTTTTGTTATATGCATTGTTATGCCAACTCAAGTACGTAATATGTAATGAGTATAATGATGCATCATAAATAAGCATACCTCTTTCCCCTCCACTTGCAGAAGTAATCTGAGAGAATCCCTCAACTGAGTGAGTTGTTTTACCTCCTCGTCCTGGTCCAGACGCACCTACAAAACACACCATAAAAATGTTTTTATTCAATTGCAGCAATAAAGAAATCTAATGAGTTGGAAGGACATCGTGTTTTTGTGCTCTCCCATGTTCATTTGATCACATGTAATGGTTTTTTGTATTTGTTCCAAGAACTGGGTGTGGAATGACAATACATCAGAGCTTTGGGTAATGGCCTTAATAATACAGAACAGAACTCAGTACTGGGGTGTGTCATCTTAGGAGGTTTTGCATTTTGTAAGCAGCAGAGTGACCAGTCTTGCATACAACATAAGTCAGTTTATGCAAAATATTTTAGCATTTTTCCTGACATATTCTGTCTGAATTTCCTTCTTGAGGCTGAGGTCTGGCATGTCTGAGCGGGTCTCTGTTCTGCCTATGCAGAACCAGAAAAACCTCTAACGCTCCCAGTATCACAGTTAACAGCCTGTTTCCAGCGCTCTATCCAGAAAAGGGAAGGAGGCAAATTGTGTACTGGAAACCAGTTGGAGTGGTTGGAGAAATAGGTGAGCACCAGGGAAAGAATTAAAATGAGGGATGCTTTCAGTTTGGTTTTATAGGGGGAAACATTTCTGGGAATAGACTCCAATAACAGTCTCTGCCTGTGGGGTCAGCTGGGGGGAAGTTTTCAGAGGAGGGGGGAGAGGCTAAGGTTTTGGCCGTTGTAAGATAGTAACAGAGAAAAAGTGCTGTAGGAGGTACTAAAAAGCGAGAGCTTTACTGTAAGTGCTTTCTTTTAATAATTGTTGTGACTGCGCAATGGATGACAATGGATGTATGTGTGTGTGTGTG